ACTATCATTCATTTGAGATAGAATCAAGTTGCACACATGAATGAACTCATTGTCATAAGGAGTAGATATGTAATCAAGTTCTTTTCTCATATGATGAGCAACTGCAGAGTGTGAATAAGATGAATCTGGATTAATTTTAAAGAATCGTTCAACAACAAGTTCATTCAATTTTTCAATCCAATTTGGCTGCATTTTAATTTGGAAATAAATGGTTCTTGTCTTCATCAGATCAGTGAAAGAGAAACTTTTAATGACATCTTCTTTTGTAGTTTCACTTTTAGTTAAAAAATCAAACAAACTCGTTAAGAATGGTTTGTATGTTATTGGATTTTCCGTGTTAATATAATGGAGCTTAACAGCTTGGTTACCAAAAGGTATTAAAAGTTCATCAGAAAAGAAATTTTGATTGAAACCTTCTTCTATTTGATCATTGTAATTAACGATGCTGTCATCGTTGATGAGGAAAATGATTTTAGACATGTTTGATAAAGCAACTTCACTAATTTTAATAGGTTTACTTTTCAAAGTGTTGAAAGGATCTTCAACATTCATGTTTTCTTTGATTTTTTCTTGATTTTGATTTTCATTGATGTTTTCATCATCACTGTCATCGTCACTGATGATTTCAACAATGTCTTCGCATTCAACTTCTTCATCTGAATTAATTAGTTTGCTTTTTTGTCTTGAAAAACTCAGTTCTGTCTTTCTTGAATATATGTTGTTCATGCCAATTGTCATCTCAATCTGATCAATGTAGAAATCTTTGTTCAAAACTACAATTTGGATGTCACTGATGTAACTGAGAAATGAATAAATTTTGGCAACAACGGTGGCTGTCTTTTCTAAGTTCTGCTTCTCTGGTGGAACATGCAGAAGCAAAAAGATTGGATTCACATTGGAATTGTCTTTATCTTCAAAATCTGGATAAAATTTTATTAATGGAAGACTTCTGTCACTGAATCCATAAACACAGATATTTTTATCATTTTGATCAAATTCAGGATAATTGCTGTTGATGAGTTTTGAAACGATGGATTTCTCATTTTTTTCAAAAGAGTTCAAAAGCAGAATTAAAGGAGTTTTTACTTGATCTTTCTTTGGTAATTTGTCTTTGCAAAATTGTTCAAATTTTTGGCTTTCAAAATTCAATGTCTTCTTGGATTCGTCATACGTGAAAAATATGTATAACTTGCCACTATTCTTGATGAAAGAATTGTCATTAAACAATTTTTTCTCTATTTCTATATCTTTAGATTTTTCTTTATCTTTTGACTTCTTTTTATCTTTACCTTTCAATTCAGGTTCATTTTTTGTTTCTGTTTCATTTGTTGTAATGCTTTCTTGAATGCTTCTTACTTGTTCTTCCCAATCTTCATGAATTTCATCATCATGCTTCTCTTTAAAATATAAAATTCCATTTTCAAATGCATAAGATAAATCAGGTAATATCCAAAAATCTTTTGATGAATCTGTTTGAATTTCAGATTTGTCCGTTTTCTTCACGCTGACTTTTGGAATTTCATATAACGATAAACGTTCTTTAAAAGTGGGAAGATAATCAATTCCATTATAATCTTTAACATTAAAAATTTTTTCTTCATTAAAAGTGGTAGGATAATTGGTATTGTTAGATGTAGAATTATTGCCACTATTTGGCGAATACATGTCTTTAGCAACTTTTTTAGCATAGGCACTTTCGATCATTTCTTTAAATGAAGGAAACTTCATCCTTTTGAATTTAGATTTGCCAATTATCAATGGAAGTACGACATTGAACTTATCTTGATTGAATGCATCTAAAATGAACTGAAGTTGATAATACAATGCATCAGGTAGTACTTCAAGTGATGAACATAGTTCTATGTATTCTTTATCAAAAAGTTTGGGAATTTTGGCTTTTTCATACAAATTATCAATTTCTCTTTTTTGAATTTTTTGCCGATCAAAATTGAAACAAGCAAGATTGATCAATGAAATATAATTTTCATATTTAGTCAAGGTTTTGTATTCATCAAGTTCTTTCTTTTTTGATTTGTAATTTAATAGCAACGATATTTTATTAAATAGTTCTTTTCTGCTTCCTTTAATGAAGAAATAATTCAAAAAGTTCGTGTAAAAAATAATTGCTGATTCTTCAATAAGTTTCTCATTTTTGAAGTTGAACAATAACACAGAAAATTTAGGTTCAATTGTCTTTAAGTACTTAATTACAGCACTGATGTTTTTGAGCAATTGTTGCTTTTTCCTTTCTTCTGGACAATCATTTAAATCAACATTTTCAATCGATTCAAGTTTGAGAATAAAAATGACAAATTTCGGAATTGCATTGTTTTCGACTGTTTGAATAAAGTTATCAAAATGTAACTTCATTCCTGATGCTATTGCATTGATTGCTTCCAAAAGTGCTTTTTCTGAAAGATCCTGAAGTTTCAACAGTCTATCGCGCCTATTAATTACATTTAATTCCGGTTTTATGTTATTTGTTGATTTGCTCTTTTTCTTTGACGATTTTGATGAAGAACTTTTATGTTTCTTGTAGAGTTTTATTTTAGATTTTTTATTGGACTTTTTATCAGCATTTGAACTTTCTTGTTGTTGTTGTTTATCTTCAGAAACTTGAAGTTCTTCTTCTTTTTGTTGTTGTTGTTCGTTATTTTTAAGGAAACGTAGATGCCTTTTTTTTAATGGATCATTTTGACTAGTTTTCTCAAAAACTGGTGTAGAATTATCGACGTTATGAGGTGTATAATTACCAGAAAATATAGCCCAATAAAAGTTTGCATTTTCTTCCTTAGGTTCACTGTCATCAAATGTGATATATTGAAAGCCAGATTTCTGGAATTTTAGAATTAAAAAAATTTGCGCAGCAACAAGGAAATTGTATTCATCATTGAAACAGTTGTTGTCAATAAAAAAAGGAAGATCTGTATCAGCATAATATCTGAGTATTTCTTCAGATTGATCATTGTTTATATTTGATACTCTATCATAAAAGTCTTGAGGGCCCTGGGCAGTCTGCATGATGTATGGTATTGGTGGTCCATTAAAATCATCTTGATTTGGCATCGGTGGTTCATTAAAATTATCTTGATTTGGCATCGGTGGTCCATTAAAATTATCTTGATATGGCGGTGGCTGGTTATCAAATCTCTCTTCGTTGGTATATGGAGGAGAATTGTTGTAATCTTGAACGGGTTCATTTTCTTGTTGATTTTCAATATCTAAAATATAAATAAAAGTTAAAAATGCTTTTTGGGTTAAAAACTCATCTAAATTGTTAATTGCAATTTGGTATTTATTAAAATATTGGTTTTTGCAATAGTTGTAAATATCTTCGGTGTTAATATTAAAAATACCATTTAAAATAATTGTTTTCAATAATATAATTTTTTCTTCCCTGGTTGTGAAAGGTTGACGAGGATTAATATATTGAGGTATTTCTTTATATAAACGGCGAATTGAAATTAAAATATTTCTGTAACTATGAATTTCATCGTCTTTATTCCAGTTCACAAAATTTTCGAATTTGTGTAAGTCCGGCTGATTATAACGGTAATTTATTACAGATTCAATTAAAAGACTGAATGAATGACCGATATCATCAAATAGAGAATCAATTGTAGGATTTGGATTTTTCATAAAAATTCTATTATCAAAACTGTCAATTAGATTAATGATAGGATCATATTCAATCTCATCATCCATAATTTAAATTCTTTTGTTTATGTTTATTCTCAATATTTTTAAATTTTTTGAATACATATTTGAGAAAAATAAAAATAAATTACTCAAAAAGTTATTAAATAATTTGAATACTTGATTGTTCAATATTTGTTTAAATGCCTATTTTAGATCCATCATTACAATACTTTTTACTCAATAACGAAAACAAACAAAAGAATAACATAAGTGGATATTCTTTTTTCTTAAAATATCTCAAAATAGCTTCGAAAAATAAAAGTCGAAATAACACAACTATTTGGTCATCGGTACAGTTTAAAAAAGATCTTCAATCAAGCATATCTTTTTTGAATGAAGAGTTTGAATGTGGTTTTAAATATGAAAAACATTTTGCAAATTCAAAAAAAAATCAAGATTATTATGAAATGTTATTTAATAAAATAAATTTTGAACCAGATACCAAAAAAATACAAGAATCAAAAAAACCAATTGGCACTTATCTTATTTGTGATGATAACTTTCATACCAAATTTAATATTTAATAAAGTCCAAACCGCTTTAAAGTAGTAGATTTAAAATCATCTTCTCTTGATGTCTCTGGTTTGGAAACTGAAAAATGAGCGTCTTCGAAGACTTAAAGTATTAAAAGAAAAAAGTGATGAGCAGGAATTAAGAATTAAAAATATTGAAAATGAAAAAGCTCACTTTTTAAAGCAAATAAAAGAATCAGATCAATTTCACACATTTAGAATTCTTGATGACGAAGCAATTGAAAATATTGAAAAAGTTGAAGAAATCGGGTATGGAAGTACTTTGCCATCTTCAGTCTGGAAAAGTGAATGATTGAAGCCTGCGTAAGCATGTTTAATTTTGTACTTTTTCAAAGATGAAATCTCGACGAATTCACTGACATCCTCTGTTCCTTTTCCAATGCCTAATTGAAAATAGGGAAGCAAAAATTTATTTTTTAAATAAATTTTATTTTTAAAAATCAACTTTTTTCATAAAATATAAAATTGAATATTGTTCTTACTTGATAAATGCTTTTCCAAACTGCTTCTTCGTGATTTCTCACTGCGACGATACAAGCGAAATGTTGTTTAGAAATACAATCTTCGCTGACTCGTGGAAATCTTACTACGCAACTTGCTTCAGATTGGAGTTCTTCGATAATGAATGGAAAATTATTCCAATGAGACAATACTTTTTTTAAAATTTTAGGTCAAAGATAGGTCAAATTGAGGTCAAAAAAGGTTTGAGTTTTGAATTTCAGTTTATTTGATTTTTGATAAAATTAATATAACATATAAATCAAAAAAGGTTGTTTGGCCGAGGGGCCTAAGGCGTCAGACTGAGTTTCTGATCTCGTTAGAGGCGTGGGTTCGAATCCCACAGCAACCAATTTTTTGGGTTTTTTAGCAATGATTTATTTAATGGGCCGGAAACAACAGTAAAAAATATACATTTGTAAGAAGTAATTAAAATAAAATAAAATGTAGTAATAAATCTTTTGAATGGAAGCCTATGTTATTTCTTAAATAGAAGCATATAAATCTTCTCCAAAGCCTTTGTAAAATTCTGGGGAAAGATTTTTTGCATTTTGATATTTTGGTGGTGTTTCTTTTTTATTACCAATATTCGATGATAGAATTGGCTTTAATTCAAAATTATATAAGTAATCTTTGTGTTGATATGATTCATATAGAATATCGAAGGATGATAATGATTTATCAATTATTTCGAATAGTTTCTTATTTGAACTTTCTGTTATATCTGGTCTTTTTATAACTTCCTGTTTGATTTTTTCTATATTGAAATCAAATCGTAAAAGCAAAGCTAAACTCAATAAAATGATTGAATTGTCGAATTTATTAATTGATCTGATTAATAAATCAATTGATTTGTTGAGATCTTGGTTGATTGTTTTATCATCGATAAATAATCATTCTTTTGTCGAATAGCTTCTTCAAAGTAAACTATCGCATTGCCTGTTTTCCCTTCAATTCCATTATCACCATGCTTATATATAATACCAGGATTGTTTTTTGAATATTGGTTATTGAATGATGATGCTTCTTTATAATAATGAATAGCTTTTTGGATGTCCTTTTTAGCATATATTCCCTCGTGATGTAAAAAACCATGATAAAAATGAGCTGCTCGGAGATTATTCATGGATGCTAGCATGATATAATAGAAACCTTTTTTTATATCTTTCTTTATTTTATAACCATGATAGTAAATGAGACCGAGACTGAATTGTGCTTCTGAAAGATTTTGATTTGCAGCAAGTGAATAATAATGAATTGCTTTGTTGATATCTTGTTTGACATATTGTCCTTTCGAATAAATGAGACCGAGATTGAATTGTGCATCTGGATCATTTTGATTTGCAGCCAGTGAATAATAATGAATTGCTTTGTTGGTATCTTGTTTGACATATTGTCCTTCATCATAAATAAGACCGAGACTGAATTGTGCTTCTGAAAGATTTTGATTTGCAGCAAGTGAAAAATAATGAATTGCTTTGTTGATATCTTGTTTGACATATCGTCCTTTCAAATAAATGATACCGAAATCGAATTGTTCATCTGGATCATTTTGATTTGCGGCCAGTGAATAATAATGAATTGCTTTGTTGATATCTTGTTTGATATATTGTCCTTTCAAATAAATGAGACCGAGATTGAATTGTGCATCTGGATCATTCAACTGAGAATTCAAAATTTTTTTCAAGCTTTAAGAACGAATATGTGGGAATCAAAATCGCATGCTTTATGTTCTTCCTGACCTTCAACAGGAGCTTCTTCAGGTGAAATAAGTCCTGCAGCACTATCAGTAACGATAAGAACAATGTTCATTAATTCATTCCCGAAGTGTCCTTTATCACCATCAACATGATAACAAAGATTTGGATCCAATCCTTGCAAATGAGTACCACTATATGGTCCATTAACTTCATTGAGAATTTTATACCATCCAACAAGTGCAATCTTTTTATCTTGAGAAACAACCATCCAGCTTAAGAAGTTAGTATCAAATGGTGATACAAGTCGATAGAATTCACCAAATTGGATTACTTCACGATATTTTTTCATGAATTTAATTTGTTCACGAACCATTTGGCGTTCTGTTTCATTCAATTTGTTCAGATCAAGTTCATAACCAAATGTTCCGAAATGTGCCACATTTGCACGAGTGTAAAGAGGGGGTGATTCTTGCTAATTGATGATTTGGAACTGCAGAAACATGTGCACCAATTGAACTTATTGGATAACAGAATGATGTTCCTAATTCTGCTGAAAACCTGTCAGGTAATTTTCAAATAAAAATATAACGTTGATTTTAAATATTATATTTTGAATATTCAATCAAGATAAATAAAGATAGTTCAATAATATAATAAAAGCTTCATAATTTCATAATTTTCTTTAGAGGTAATGAAAAAGTATTTAAATATTTAAGGTACAAATCCAGTACGTTTAGTAACCGCAATTTTTTTTGACATTCTCAAAGAATAAGATGACATGCTAAATAAAAACCGATTATTTTCATTCATTTCATATAACATGTCATAAAGTTTGTTTAAATTGTAAAATAAGTGTCAAAAACAAACCTAGTCAATTTAAACTTTTTCAGAGACATGCAACTATTCAAATAATAAACGTTCTCCTATTCAAAAAATAACGTACTGGATTTGTACCTTAATAATCTTTTTTAATAAAATTAAAATCCATAATATTAATCTTCTCTTAGAAAATTAGTTGTTTTCATAATAAAAGAAAGAGTGATTTGAATTATTTGGAATCTCTATTTTTATCACTTGGAATAACTATGTGCATAAATAAAAAATTATTTTATTCAAATATTTTAAACATTAAAATTAGCAATATAAATTGAATAAATCTTTTATATTTAAAGATATAAATATTTTTAAAAAGACCAATTAAAATTCTATATAAAAAGTCATATGCCTTAAAAATATTTAATATTAAAAGCAATGTCAACGCAACTATTTTTAGGCAAAGGTAAATACGGAGAAACATTTAAAATTGATTCTCCAAATAGAACTATAGTTGTAAAGAAGTACTACAGTAAATACTGTAATTTAACATTAACAAAAATGCCAGAAAATCTGGAAAATGGTATAAATGATTTTAATATATCATGTCCAATTAATTTAAAAATGGAAAATGATGATGGCAAGCAAGTATTAATTTCAATTACGCCTTATTATCCTAAAGGATCATTAAGATATCAACTTTCAAAAGGACCTCTAGAAAGAAATCATGGAGAGAATATAATTTGTTCAATTGCAAATAACATGGAACGCCATCATAAATATGATCAAATTAATGGAGATCTTAAACCATCTAATATTTTAATTGATGAATCTGGATATCCTCATTTAACTGATTACTTTAATATCGAATTACTAGGCCAAGGTTTGGATCCTTTTGATAATAATAATGATGTAGTATATACAGCACCAGAAATCTGGAAAGGGCAGCCATATACAAAAGCTAGTGATGTTTATTCTTTTGGTATGTTAATTTATGAAATAATGACAGGACGTCGACCTTTTGGTGAATTAAATCCTTTTCAAATTATTGCTAAAATAACCGAAAATCAACGACCATTTATTGATTCAAATATACCAGAATTCTATCGAGATTTGATTACAAAATGTTGGTCAGATAATCCAGAAGAAAGGCCTACATTTATATCTATTTTAAATATGTATTTTCAAAAAAGAGATCAACTTTCGTGTTATACAAATATAGATAAATATAAACGTTATTATTTTATACCAAAAATTGCTGGTGGTAATCTAAAAAGGCCAGAAAAACCAGATTCATTTTCAGTTGAAGATTCAGCTTCATCTACAGTTGGAGAAGAAGATGACGAATTGTATGAAAATTCATTAATATCAGAATTGAGTATTCAACCGATAAAAACCGACATATTTGAAAAGAAAAACAAAATAGGCGAAGGAAGTTTTGGAAATGTATTCAAAATAAAAGATAAAACTAAAAACGTGTTTTATGTTGCTAAAATTAGTAAGTATTCATTACAAACTTTTTCAATACAAAATAAAGATGATCTTCGAACAATTTTTTTATTGAATGAAATTAGAATTAATGCACGATTGAATCATCCATTAGTATTGAAAATGATTGGATATTCGCCATTCAATTTTTCTAAAAAACATAAACCAATGATTATAACGGAACTTGCTGAAAATGGTGGATTGGATTCAATTCTTGATTTAGAAAATCAAAATAGAAGTGCTTTAAAATGGAATAATACAAAAAAGTTAATTATAATATATGGAATTGCTCTCGCAATGAAATATATACATTCAAAAGATATTATTCATTTTGATCTAAAAGCTGAAAATGTTCTTCTTGATAATAATTTTTATCCAAAATTGGCTGATTTCGGTCTTTCTAAAGATATGAATTGTAATGATGAAAATTTTAGATCAATAAAAAATATGCTGGTTAGAGGAACTCCAACTCATGCTGCACCAGAAATGTGGAATTCCTCTAATTTAACAAAGGCTGTTGATGTGTATTCATTCGCTATAACTGTATTTGAAATAATATCTAATGAAAAACCTTTTCAAACTTCATCCATTTATGATATTTTAAGAGATGTTTTATTTCTGGGAAAACGTCCAACTTCAAAGTATCCAATACCAAAAAGTTACATGAAATTGATCGACGATTGCTGGAATCAACAACCTGAGAAAAGACCATCGTTTGAACAAATTGTTGATCTGCTGAAAAGTGATGTGGTTTTTGTAAAAGAATTGAATGTCGATGAAGACGAATTTTTAGAGTTTGTAGAAGATATGGAAGGATCAATTCAAAAAATAATTTCCCAAAATGAAACTGTTAATCAAGATTTAAACCTAAATATGCAGAAAAATGTTAAAAAAAGGAGTAATTTACCACAATTGAAAAAAGTTGTGGAATGTGAAAAAATTGTTGAGACTGAATCATCTTGTGCACAAAATTTTACAAGGCGTTCACATTTGCCTTGTTTGCCAAATCAATCTTATAAGCCAAATTCACCATATTTACAAAATTCATCATGTCCGCCAAATTTACCTTGTATCCCAAATTCACCATATCAACAAAATTCACCATATCAACAAAATTCACCATATCAACCAAATTCGCCATATCAACAAAATTCACCATATCAACAAAATTCACCATATCCACCAAATTCGCAATATCAACCAAATTCACAATATCAACAAAATCCACCAAATTCGCAATATCAACAATATCCACCAAATTCACAATATCAACAAAATCCACCAAATTCGCAATATCAACAAAATCTACCAAATTCGCAATATCAACAAAATCTACCAAATTCACAATATC